TTGTCAATTTTGTTTTGCAAATACCCTGTCTCAGTGGATTTCTCGATAGAAAGAGTAAAAAGCCAGAGGTTGCAAAAGCCCCCTGACCAATCTCAGCGAGAGATACAGCTATGAGTGCATTTAAAACAGACACATCAAAGCAAATCGCCAATATCCTTTGATTTATATTTAATTAAGACTCTTTTTCCTTATGTAACATTAAATGAAAAAGGACTCGGTCGATTGTATTTCGTTTGTTGGTTTACCCTCGTCTGTATTTGATATAAAATTACCTTTTATCCTTAAATAAAGCTTGTTTAAACTTTTCAAATCACCCCTTTCCTCTGATAGTATTTTCTTGTTTATGTCAAAATAATTTGCATTATTATCTGGGAAAGGAGTGTCGTTTTTCAAACGTCTTTTTCCAGGTCGAAGAATTCTGGAAGAAGCGCGAAACTGGATCTAGTTGTCAAATTATTTTAAACTATAAAATGTCGATATTAGCAATACTTATTTCTTTTGTTGTGCGCTTGAAAAGATTTTAATGAAAGACAAAGGGGAAAAATGTACACTCTTTGTTAAAGCGTAAACCAGACAAGAAACTAATATGATGTCTTTAATTTTTAAAGAAATTCATCCTAGTACACAATGACAGACGTGTTTTCTCTTCTGAGACAGATTCCCTCTCATTATATCCTTTCCAACTCTCACGACCTTAATTCAAAAAAGAACGCAATATTAAGGACCTAAATCAAATATGACATTTAACACTCTTAATCAAGGTCAGATTTCAAACAGAAATATTCAAATGGATGAAAATTTGAAGCCAAGTTCTATATTAGAAGTGACACCAAGTTGTGCCCGGTAGAATGAATTAAAGGCGCCCGTGTTAACACATAACCTAAGATCTTAATTTCGTTCGCATCGTCACTATCGATGTATTTTCTAAAGTTCAAAAGCAGAAGTCTGGAAAATTGACTCAAGTTTAGAAAAATGACCGCTCGTAATCAAACGACCATTACACAGGGGTTCTGACTAGTCACTGGTGTTATTCAATTAAGTGTTCGATCCAATCGAAAAGGCCACACTTTTTATGAGCCGACCCCCACCTAAGTCGACGTTCAGGCAGTAAAATGTCAAGATTAACCAACACACTATGAGTCAAGCCGAATAATAATGAAAGAGTCCCCCCTCCCCTCGTGTCCAACATCCCCCTTCCTCCGCCTCTTTTCTCAAGACTATCGATTTGTTCGGCCCTCATATTCTAACAAAATTCGTTTCTGTGAAATTTGTTTTTTTACGTTTCAGTCCTTAAATAGTCTGTTAGTATGCGCGCGTTCATTGATCCTGTGTTAAATTAAGGTTTATGTCATTGGGGACTTTTTTTCATGTTTGCAAATATAGACGTTTCCCTAAAGGTGACACGAAATACGTAGACCCCAACACGAGACATAAAACACATTTTTTCACGAATAAAAAATAATCATATAATTAACTTTTCACTTTTTACACTGTGGTTATTAAATACACTACATCCAACATATAACTTGAAGTAGCAATAAATTTAAGATATAAAAAGTGTAAAATCAAATGTGTATGAATGACCTAAAAAATCAACGTTTATTTTCCATTTCTGTCTCCCATTCTTTCCCTTGAGCTTCTCAACATTCCATTTTCTCTCATCCCCTTTCACATTTTGATTCCATCATTGCATTATCGGCCCATGCTTCATCAGCCGGGCGCGCCAATCACGCTCTTCTTCCAATTAGTATGGGCACAGTTACGTCCCCTGTTTGCAACCGCACGCAATAACGTTCTTCCTGTATCAATACGCGGCTGACTCACAGCTTAATGTCCTTGAGAAAGTAGTTCTTTATGGGAGTAATTTGATTAGATAAAATAAAGAAATACATTCTGATTGGATGTTAGCTCTTTTAATTATTTAAAACGAAATCCTTGTCAAAATTGGAAGGCTGAAAAATTTCATAACAGCACACGAACGCCTTTTTAATTTGATTTAAAGACTATTTACATAATTTCTCAATGTCTCTAGTCCTCCACTTCTATTGCTTCTTTCAGCAGAAGAAAATGCAAAAAAATGTCGTTTGTTTTAATCATTTTATTCGCGGAAATGAAATTAACCCGATTTTGAACAAAACTCCGTTTCTGATGGATCAATAAGAAACATTTTCAGTAAAAAACTGAACTTATTATACACACGAAACGATTAAATAAATAATATGTAAATACATAAATAAAACAATTAGGAATGAACTCATGCTTGAAGCATTCGTTGAGATAAAATTACTAAAATGAAATTATGTATGGTTTTACATTTTACCAGTTGGATTTAAGAAAGAGACTAATGTTTGAGGTCCGTTGTAAACATGTATTCACTACTCAGAATCTATGACCGAAGTGCCCTTTAACGTCACTGGGCGGGTTACTCCGTTTCATAATAGACACATGATACGAGCACTGGCCTTATACAACACGTTGAGTATAGAGGCTATCTTTAACAAATGGGACAGTTTTATAGGGGTGGGGGTCGAGCGATTAGAGGCACGGAGTCAATGGACGTTAAGCTACGTGGTCAATAGAGACAGTGGGTTACGTTGAAAATAGCCAAGCGACTTTTGTTGTATGAATGACTTTTGAACCGCAGTTCAACCGAGGCTCTTTGATGTTAACCCTGACGTTACGGGTCTCATCTTACTTTATCCCTACCCTTTTCCCAACCACACCCCGAGAACTTTACCCGCTTTGTGACAAGATATAAACCCTTTTAGATTCGGCTAAATAACAATCTATTTAAGATGTTGCATTTGACACGCTACTGTTGTTGCACTATTGTCTGTCACAGGCTGCGAAGGTATTTTGAAGTAGTGCTGTTTTTATGTATGGATACAGGGTGTGCGATCTGTCCTGGGTTGGGTTTATAATTTTCCTCTTTACAGGTATGACCAGTTTATATACACGTCTAACCAGTCCTTCAATAGCCATCATACTGACTCAAATAACCACACATCCTAGCTTCAATAACCACCATTCTGGCTTCAATAACCACCATTCTGGCTTCAATAACCACGCACCCTGGCTTCAATAACCACCCACCTTCGCTTCAATAACTAGACGTCCTGGCTACAATAAGTGACTGTCCTGTCTTCTATATACACCTGTCCTAGCTTCAATACCCATCCATCCTGGCATCGATTACCACCCTTCCTCCCTTCAATATTCACCCATTACGGCTTCACTATCCACATATCATGGCTTCAATATTCTCACACCATGGCTTCAATATTCACCGATCCTGGCTGCAATATCCACACATCATGGCTTCAATATCCATCCATCAGAGCTTCAATATTCACCCTTCCTTGTTTCCATTACCACCCATCCTGGCTTCAATATCAACACGTCGTGACTTCAATATTCACTTATCTTGGCTTCAATATCCACTTATCCTGGCTTCAATATCCACTCATCCTGGCTTCGATATCCACTCATCCTGGCTTCAATATCCAACTATCCTGGCTTCAATATCCATCTATCCTGGCTTCAATATCCACCCATCCTTGCTTCAATACCCTCCCATCCTAGTTTCTATATTCACCATTCCGAGATTTAATATCCAACAATCCTGGCTTCAATATCCACACATCCTGGCTTCCATTACCACACACACTGGACACAATATCCACCAATCCTGGCTTCAAAATCCACACATCCTGGCTTCCATTACCACACACATTGGACACAATATCCACCAATCCTGGCTTCAATATCCACACATCCTGGCTTTCATTACCACACACACTGGACACAATATCCACCAATCCTGGCTGCAATATCCACACATCATGTCTTCAATATCCATCCATCAGAGCTTCAAAAGTCACCCTTCCTTGTTTCCATTACCACCCATCCTGGCTTCAATATCAACACGTCGTGACTTCAATATTCACTCATCTTGGCTTCAATATCCACTTATCCTGGCTTCAATTTCCACTCATCCTGGCTTCGATATCCATTCATCCTGGCTTCAATATCCAACTATCCAGGCTTCAATATCCACTCATCCTGGCTTCGATACCCACTCATCCTGGCTTCAATATCCAACTATCCTGGCTTCAATATCCAACTATCCTGGCTTCAATATCCACCCATCCTTGCTTCAATACCCTCCCATCCTAGTTTCTATATTCACCATTCCGAGATTCAATATCCAACAATCCTGGCTTTAATATCCACACATCCTGGCTTCCATTACCACACACACTGGACACAATATCCACCAATCCTGGCTTTAATATCCACACATCCTGGCTTCCATTACCACACACACTGGACACAATATCCACCAATCCTGGCTTCAAAATCCACACATCCTGGCTTCCATTACCACACACACTGGACACAATATCCACCAATCCTGGCTTCAATATCCACACATCCTGGCTTCCATTACCACACGCACTGGACACAATATCCACCAATCCTGGCTTCAAAATCCACACATCCTGGCTTCCATTACCACACACACTGGGCACAATATCCACCAATCCTGGCTTCAATATCCACACATCCTGGCTTCCATTACCACACACACTAGACACAATATCCACCAATCCTGGCTTTAATATCCACAAATCCTGGCTTCCATTACCACACACACTAGACACAATATCCACCAATCCTGGCTTCAATATCCACACATCCTGGCTTCCATTACCACACACACTGGACACAATATCCACCAATCCTGGCTTCAGTATCCACATATCCTGGCTTCCATTACCACACACACTAGACACAATATCCACAAATCCTGGCTTCCATTCCCTCACACACTGGACACAATATCCACCAATCCTGGCTTCAATATCCACTCATCCTAGCTTCAATATTCATATTTCCTGGACTCCATTATCACGATAATCATCCGTTCTTGCGTCAAAAGTCATAATTCTGACTTTAAATACCCCGGTTTCAATAACCATCACCATTCCTTCAGTACCATGCGTCTTGGATGTAATAGCCAAAGATCCTCGCTTCGCGTCAATATCTATCCGCCCTAGCTTCAATAAGAACTCATCAAGGATGCAATAACCGCCTATCTTGGATTCTGGGAACATCCATCCTGACCTCAAGTCCCAGCAAATTGGGATGCAATAGCCACCATCCTGGCGTCAACAACCACCCGTCGTGGCTTCAATAATCATCTATTTTGATTTCAAACCACCCATGCTTCAACCATTATCCTGGCTTCAATTACCATCCATCCTGGATTTATTAACCACACATTGTCGTTTCAATAATAAGCATCGTTGCATCAATTAACACCAATCTTGGCTTCAATAACCATTCATCCTAGCTTCAACAATATCTCATTTTGGATTCAATAATCGCCTAACATGGATTGAATAAGCATCCATCCTGGATTTAATAGCTACCCATTCTGGTTTCAATAACTGATTATCCTGGCTTCAACAACCACCCACACTGGCTTCAACTACTGACCATCCTACTTCAATGCTCATTCATATAAGCTTTATTAGTCTTCATTAGGCTTAAAAAAAACACCCACCCTGGCTTCAGTACGTTTTCGTCCGATATACTCAACACGTCATTAATCCCAAATCAACACCAAATACACCCAACATCCACTCCATAACCCCACCAACCACCACTTCTCACCCTCATCAAACCCCTTAACCCCACCAACTACCATTTCACACCCTCATCAATCTCCTCAACCCCACCAACCACCTACTCACCCTCATCAAACCCCTTAACCCCACCAACTACCATTTCTACCCTCGTCAATCTCCTCAACCCCACCAACTACCATTTCTCACCCTCATGAAACTCCTTAACCCCACCAACTACTACTTCTCACCCTCTTGAGTCCCCTTCCACCCCACTCCAAACCCCCACCGCCCTCCTCCAAAGCCACTCACAACCCCAACCCATCACCACCTCTCACCCTCATCAATACCTTCCGAACCCCACTCCTCACCCCGACTAACCACAACTCCTCACCCCCGCCAACCACCACCCTCGCCCTCAACAACCCCTCTCCACACACCCACCAACCTGACACCCAACTTTTAACCCAAACCAACCCCCTCCCACCACCCCTCACCCCTACAACTCCCTCTCACCACCTCTCAGTCCCACCAACGCCCTGCCACCACCCCTCAGCCCCACCAACTCCCTCCCACCACCCCTCAGCCCCACCAACTCCCTCCCACCACCCCTCAGCCTCACCAACTCCCTCCCACCACTCCTCAGCCCCGCCAACGCCCTGCCACCACCCCATCAGCCCCACCAACTCCCTCCCACCACCCCTCAGCCCCGCCAACGCCCTCCCACCCCCACAATGTCCGCCTAGTACCATCCTGTTTAGGCACTCAGCTCAGTCTGTGTATGTCACAAGTCTTGGAAGTTTTATCGACCAGTAAACTATTATTGAGTGTGATAGTTCCATGCACGTGTGCGTTACTTGGAACGTAGCGTTGACTCTGGTTTGCACGTGTTCTGTCTCTAGTGTTTCCCTAGATTACATGGAATTTTGTGTTTATTCTTTAAAAACGTGTTTACGTTACGGTAGCGGGGTAGTGTTTCTTCAAGGATGAATTAAGAAGTCTGATTGGGTTATCTTGACATGGGAAGACTCGGTGACAAAGCGGTATTTTAATTGAAAGGACGTGAACTAAATACTGTGACATTTGCTCGGAGAGTGCGGGGTATATCCTGTATCCTGTATTCTGTCATCAATGTTTCTGACACAGAAAAAAAAACGCTGACAATATACATCAGCCATACAGGCAGGTTTCACTATAAATCATCCATATTCATATTCACGAATCTTATGATTGATGTGCAAAGCTAATCTAATATTCATAATTTGTGTAGAAAGTTATTTTGTTAAGAAGCTGTTTTCACATAAAGAACGTACTAACTGGCGAATATCTGTTCTTTTAACGCAATGTTCACGGACCATGTGTTTGGTCTATAACATGCCTGTGTCAATAGTTAGCCTTGAGAAACCATCCCTTTATGCCAGTCTTGAACCAAACCATGACACATTAAACTTATCGCACACTGTTAGAAGCCATAAAACGGAGGCCAGTTTCAAAGAAGAAAAGCGGGGCTTTACCACATAAAGCACTGAAACCAAGTGTCGTCCCTGTGACCCGCATAGCAATTTATGTACAGAACATTGAGGAGAGCTCTATCCAGTTTCACTGAAAAGGGAACTTTAGTTGGGGTGGCTATAAATTTGTTAGTAGTGTATGAGTGACTCTTGGCCCAAAATCTAAAGAAAATCGTCTCCATTGCGAAATATTCGTTAAGCTTCTGCTTCGTTGTTTTCGCCTCGTTAGTCAGAAATGCACATTAACATTTAATTTAACGAATTTTTAAAAACTCTAACCCGCATTGCACTTTTTATATCGAAATATGCTTTAGGGCTATTTAGTGTTTTAAATGCATGGAAAAATGTGCGTTGAGAGAGCTTTATGACTGATAGGGACTACATTAAACCTGACCCCGCGGAGTAATACACCGAGCGTATTACACACGTGCGTATGCCAAAGCGTGTATTGATTCTCCCCGTTGCCCCTAAATTGGTGGTTTGAGATGAGAGCACGAACCTTGTTTAAAAATTCAGGGTACTTTGATGGTACATTTCGCACGTGCTCCTGGTGAATTGGATCTTTTTCACGTATTCGAAGAAACTGAAAAGCATTTTGTTAATATGAAATGTACCGGTTTTCCATTGTTAACCTCCATCTCTAGGCATTACAATGCTTCATCAGCAGTGCACGTCATTAGTTTGTTATATGTGACACTTGTGCTATTAAATTTCACAGGGGCATCAACATTACCAATAGCGAGATATTATTTATCGTTTCACTTTTGAAACTGCAAAGATGAAATGCGACCCTGAATACTTCTTTCTTTACAAAGTTTTACAAAATCACAAAAAGAAAATAGATTTTTTTTATAGAAAATGAACAAATAACAATTTAACAGAACAAATTTTAGTGAATATGTTTTATTTTCCCCTAAAGTTCCATTAATTGTAGTCCGTACTCAACTGTTTGGGGGTTACATTCTTTTAATTTTAGACACAAGTTCACTTAAAAAAAAAGAGATAATTTCTTTCGTTAAAAAAAGAAATTCAATATAAATTTTGTTTTATTTGAACACACACGAAGATTAATGACTGCCTCTTTGTTTCTATACCGAAGGGCCGTGTGGTAGGGTTCCGTTATTTGATAAAAACAATACATCTTTATTCTAAATCTTCTCAATCCGATATCTGAATAAGGGCAAACCCGAGGTCAAATTGTGATCAGAAATCTCTCGGTCGACCACACTAAGAAATCTATTGTGCGAATCCCTTATTTTCCTGGCGTTTTAGGAATTAGGCAGAGATATCTTGTCACACGAACAACGGGCGCGTTGTTTATACCAAATTCTACTTTATTGATACAAGAAATGAAATTATACTACTATAGAATTGCTTCCAAATCTGCGATAATTCGCTTGCATTCCTGGTATCGCAAGAGGCGCTATCCGCCCCTTGCAATTTCTTGAGAAATACGAGCAATTATATCATCCAATCGCCGTTGCGTCCCCCATGTAAATTACATCGAGATATTGATTGCAATATATCACTCGTGGAATAATTTTGCAAATGCAATCCCGTACATCTAAGGGGAAAATCCCACAAAGTTTCTATGATATTCTCGGATTCAAAGGCGATCAGCAGAGAAAGTCGCCTTAATGAGAGATACCGGAAGGTTGTATAGATGGACGCACGTACGTGCGTGTATTAAGGACGGACCTAACCCTCTGTAATTACTTCGGCTTTCATTTTGTTATGCATCTTTGGAACGATATTAAAAGGAGTATTAGTGTCAGAAATTTGTCACCATTATTTTTCCATAGCGTTGATACTTTCCGTTTTGATGTTTCTTTATTTAAATGAAAAATGGTCCTTTAAGAACATCTTTCAAACTTTAAGGTCTAAGGTAAAAAATAATTCATACGATTGACCATACCTTATACAGGTTTCATATGAAAGCCAGACTTTTTTGGGCCTCTATAATCTTTGAGTTCGTTACCCTTAAACATTATAGCATTACAATGAAAGCTGATTTTTTTCTTCCACAAAATATCATGGACAGGTTCCTTGTAAAAAAACGAATTAAAAAGTACATTATCATTTTACAAATTAACTTAACGAGAAAGGCTTTTACCAAAGAAGGTATTTTTGTATCTTAAAAAAACAACACGCATGAATACAAATTCTGAAAAGTTTCGTCAGGAAAACAGGATCTCCTAAACATAACCCAACTTCTCGGTGCAACATTCTGCCCCACGCGTGGAGAAAATTGCCATTTTCAACGCTAATATGCCTTCAACGTGCCAAACAATAAAGAAAAATATCTCCAGATTACTCTATCTACTGTAGGCAAAATTGTCATTTATCATCCTAAAAATATGATAATTTTTCAACCAGCATCTATCAACTTAAAGCTAAGAGGTATCGGAAAATCTAGGAGAGTTGGAAAAAGCATTAATCATATCCCTTACTTCACGGAGAAGCGTGGGGTTGGAGGACACCCAGTTAGCGAATCATATGGGGTACGAATGCGTCTGATGTGAAAATGACCACTCGTGATCTTTTTCATCATCATACTCTTGGGGGCCCGTCTTAATAGACTGCAGTGCACGCTGGGAACATTTTACATATGCAGACGCCTTAGGAATCTCTATGAACCGTTCTAGGATTTTTGCCTGCTGTTAAAGTAATTCTTGTTCCGTTTAAAACTCAGTTACAATTTCATAGAAGACAGAAACACGGTGAATTGCAAAAGATATATAACTGTATTTTGGGGGCTGTTTTCGACCACCTAGGCAGAAATTTGGTGTTGAATTATATTTGGCCAAGTTTTATGTCATAAAATTCAAAATATGAATTTAATGTTTGAAAAAGAGTTTTAAAACATAGAAAAACAGCAAAGGATATAATATTCATGTTTACAACGATACAAAATTTTAATTTCAAAAGTCATATTTATTTTTATAATATCAAATTACAAAGGTTTCTCTTTCTTTTGTTTTTTTATGGTAAATTTAGTTTTATCTCTTTTGTTTTGTATTCGTGTTTTGATCACAGGTAAAGGTATACAGATGTGGACCTGATCATAATGTTTAACCATTGACTCTTTGTTCATCGTTGAATTTGATAAAAACAACAATATAACGAGGCAAATCTTTGAAAAATTGGTTTGTTCCTATTTGTTTCTATCCATAAAAGATAGAGAGAGGGGTGGGGTTTGGGTGGTGGGTAGGGAGGAGTGAAAGGTAAATACCGCTTGAAATAGTGTCAATACCTGACAGTGAAGAAAGTGATACTTGATTTATCTTCAGAGCCTTTTTCGAACGGATTCTACTCCTTGAAATATTATACCGTGTGTATTTAAATTTCTTCAATTATATTGTTTATCTAATTATTCGTTTTTAGTGTTTATTGTCTCAATTCGTTTTAAACACAATAAACTTTTACCCATAAAAGAGACAACAGCTGATGCAACTACACACAGTGGGGCCTATTTGTGATAATAATAAATAATAATAAATGAAATATGTATCAACATATATGAAATATTAATCAAATTCAATTTAAAACAGATTCCCTTTTGCCATAGAATTTCATCGAATGAAATATTCATCACAACGTTTTTACTTACAAGTTTAAAAAGTTAACTGAATAACAATAATAAAAATCTCCAAAGGAAAGTTAACCCACAATACAAAAAAAAGTTACCACGGATTTCAGAGCACTTCTAGCTTTCCATAATACACAGAATACGCAAAATACACATATCGGAATAACCTGCGCTAGCAGCGAGCTAACAAACATATTCATTTGGGGTGTAAGCAATATTGAAACCCCCCACCGTGGACTCTGCCGTCTAACTTATTTTTCATCAAAGCGAAATTCTCAGAGCCGGAACGGCGACCAAGCAAAGTATTTCAAACACAGGGAAAGAACAGCGGTGTATAAGAGCGGTGCTTTAATGTTGAATCTGGAAGTAGCGATTTCCTTGGCAGTAGGAAGACTCGTCATAAATAACTCCAGGCTGCGCTAGAATCCCTTTGGTTGCTCATGCGTGAAATATCTCTGCCTTTTCTGCTGGTTTGACTTATAGCCATAAGTGATACAACAATACGCGAGACATAACATCATTTTGCAAGACGCGATGTCTGTTTAACGTAATATGCACGCCAATAAACAACACGATTTAAGGTCTAACTTAAACGAAACTTTATGGGAATTTGAATTAAAAGTACTAAAATTTCTACACATAATACGTGTACACTTCTGTTATCTGATTTTGGTATTTAAAGTAGTTTAAAAGTTGTAAAAAGTTTATTCTTGGTTTATTTGTATGTATATTGATTTATGCCCCAAAACTGAAGAAATGGGTTGAATGTACCTAATGCATTAATCACTTTGAGGTCAAATGTTAAAATGAAAAAAAAAATCTAATTAGTGTAAATACTTCTATATTGACGCCTCTGTCATCGGAGTTACAAAGGCGTCCAAATTATCAATACTCTTGGAGAATCGCTGCTAGGGTGCTCTGAAAGAATCTATCAATTCTCGTACAGGGGTCGACAATTTTTTCATCAAGCTTTCCCCACTCCAATAACCGAGGTCAGGGGTCTCGAATTAAAAGAGCCCGTTAAAAGAAACCACTACAGTTTTTACATTAACACAAGTATCCGATACCACAAGCTATTTCGTTTGGTTAGAAGAACAATTTTGTATTGGTCATTCTGGCCAAATAGATTGATGGCACGTCGACGAGACCGTTGATTAGACGAGAGTTCACTCGTTCAGTAGAGGGTTTGGCCCAAACACGAGGCACGCTTCGGCGAAATAACACTCTTTGAAAAATGTATTTTTCGTGTAATAACGGTTCTTATCGAAAGTGGAGCGCTATACAAAAAGATAGCCTGATGAGAGTTGTCATTGGCCTAATGAATATAGACGAAGGCAAGCACGAGAAGGCACACGGGTGAAGCGAAGCTATTTGCCGAACTGTGAGACACAATACACCGCCATATTGGATCGTCTACCGTGACGTCACTGTTACAAAGTAGGCCTCTCAGTGAAGGGTTTTTGCAGTATATTACCGTGGTTGTATCTCGCCCGGCCCCCACAGGGTATTGTGTGCGTCTATTTACCAATCTTTAGGCGTTGTATTTGTACGACAAATATGAATTAAAGCTCCTTTTCATACTTAATCCGCGATCGGCTTGAATTCAGATATCCGCATTGTTACCGCACATGTTGACTGATTTATGAAATAGGCTTATAACATCAAAGGGAGGGTAGCTTCGCCAATGAATAGCGTTCGTTCCCAGTAAAGGGCTTCCTTGCTAACTAGCGAACTCACAATCTGGGAAGGGATGGGCAGCACTGAGTCTATGTAAGTTTTTCAAATGATTTTTGTTAATAAATAATTAACGATTCGCACCGAGGGTCGAAATCAACACCGAAGCGGTCCATTTATCTATATTTGATTGTATCTGTTTGTCGGAAGTGATACAATTGAATCAGTTAGCACTTAACACCCAAAACTTCAACGCGTTTATACAATTGATGTGTTTAACTGCTACAGAACATTAGCGGTGTAATATTAACCTCATTGATCGTTCGTTCATTGACATATTAACATTTCTTATTATTATTATTGTTATTATTATAATCATATCCAATTGCATTATTATTATCACAAAATATCATTTTTTAAAAGCAATACGTATCAGAATAATATCTTTTAAAATATCAATTTCTGGAGTAATTAGACTTCAATTTGAATTAAATTTGTAAACGTTTTTAATTTGGTTTTAATCGTTGAGGCAATTCCTGTCTCTACATGGGAAATACCCCCTCACACGAAGGCTCTGATACTACTGCCATTATCACCAGGGTAGGGTCTGCTGATATCTAAATGCAAATCTTCACTTTGTGTGAGGCGAACGAGATTCAAATGGGTGAACTTTTTATAACTATGTGCTTCACAGGGTATGGCAATTTATTTAATCCGGTGGATGATAAATTCTTTTGCTATATTTATACTGATGGAGCGCTGCGTTTTCTTTACGGTGACACCTCAAAGATATTTTGAAATATTTCATTAGCAAGCTTATATTTTAGTGACACTTAACTGGTATGACATTTGGGCGATTTTATCGTAAAGTTTTAGATGTGTTTTGTGCGAGAGTTTATTTGAAATGACGCCGATGTGTGTGGGAAGCATTCTGAATATATCACAATCACTCCATATAACTAGCATAATTGATACACGTATTTTACACAACAGTTTAAACACTTTAAAAGCTGTTTATGTGCAGTATCTAATATGTGTGTGTTAGTTTTCTCCTTCTGATATTTATAATGGTCTGGTTTTAATATGATATATTTAATTTGTGCTTCGTATCACATAAAACATCAACAGAACGGACTGTAATCTGTGTCAAGAACTTTATTTCTAACATTTTTTCCCATGAATATTTAGCGATTAACATCTTCGTGGTAATTCCGGTGATAAATTCCGCTTTAAGGGTTTACATTTAATTTAAAATTAGACATCGTTCCGTTTTCTTGAGATTTTTTCTTGTCGATAATTCCTACCAGAAATCCTTCTCGATAGGCTCTGGTACAAGAAATTGAAATGTATTAGTTTCGTGAAAAAAATGTCAACAAAAAGTCAAAAACTAATCTATTTCAACTACTTCCTTGAAAGGCAGGCAGCACTTCATTACTTCGGAGAAATTGACATTTCAATTTCATCAAAGAAATTAAGCAAGAACACTTTTCTCTGAAGAAATTCAAATTCGTAGCTACTGTCTCACTAGTTTTCAAGCGATTTGTTTTCAACGACATATTTCTATAAGATTAATGCAACTTTTTCCAATGGGAAATTTGCGGCAGTTTCCCCTCTCGGTGTTGGTGAAAAATAATTGCTTTAAACTGTAAAGTTGTAGCTTTTCAAACCATAAATCATTTTGCTGAGCGATTCAATTTTCGTCGATACGTTCACGCTTTTGAGGCGAAAATGGATATAAAGCCTGTCTCTTTTTCCACTTTTATGTCTCTTCGGAAATATCCTTAAAACTTCTGAGAGATTGTTGATAGTTTTTGTACCGTCAGTCGTTTAAGTTTTCGAGAAGAATTTCTCCCGAACAGCCTCTCAGTCTACACAAAACGTCGCTGATTGACTATACAGTTAGGGAGAAGATGTAGTCTGTTTTTTCCATCTCGGCTCTGTTGTTCGAGAACCATATCATGTGTGTTACATTTTCCAACTGTCACTTCAAAGAACGAAAGTAACTGTATTCCAAATAACAGAAATGCCCACAATTTCTTGCACTCATTATATGGCGTTTTCCGACACAGCAAAATGGGAAGCGTGTTTACGACACAGTACCAGAATCCTTGGTGCATTTGCCGTAAAATTTTCAATTTAAAATATCAAAATTTCGTTAAAAAAATAGCCACATGCACATATGTGCGCCAGCTGTACACGGCCAGGCAGTAACAGGCCCGGTGTCGGGAAAATGCCGCAGCATACACGTTGATCGTAAAACGAACTTGGGGTCTAAAACTGTACTTTGATGTTCGGCATTTCTCTCTAGAGCTCAGCAGTAATTTTCTGGTATCTACAACAGAAAATGTATTTCTATGCTGGTTTTTTTTTATATATACGTCGTCAGTTTCGAGACCCGATGATCAACTTTATTCAAACGTTTACAGCTTTTTATTCGTCTAGTTTGAAGCCAGGGCGCTTATGTCAGACCGAACATAAAATATGGTGAAGTTGTCTGTAATAAAAATCGAATACTTGTATATAGTTTTTTTGCTGTTTCTGTTATTGCCCCGAAACAGCTGTAGCAATCCCGAGAGGCCGGGTCTGTAGGCTTACCTATAAACAGAACACATGGGAATTTCATTAGCAGACAGATGATATCGTCGACAGTAATACAAACAAATTACTTCCAACACATTAATTGCATCATATTATATGCTTTGATTCAAAAATATGATTTATTATGTGTTTATTTGAGTAAAACTCTAGAATTAAATAGCCAAAGGTATTTTTTTCAGATATGTTGAAATATATAGTTTTCGTCAAAGTTACCAGAAAAAGCTTGACAATTTGACATATGCCGTCACATGCCCTTGAACAAAATGTCCACTTATTTTAATGTGTGTATTTTTTATCATCTAAGCTAGACTTTCTGTTTCCTAGCGAGTAGAAAACATCCAGTTTACTCTACATATGGTTTAACACCGTATTTGTTTAATTAAAATTTTCAGCAATGCAACCATTTCAATATCACATGTAAATTATTCTCCCGTACAAACCTTCTAATAAAGTCAGTTTTTACTCAATTTCAATATAATGTTAATATCAACAACAATATTGAACTGCCAATCAAGCATCAAGGGCTGTCAACAGCTTTTGAAAATAGACAAAGAATCCCAAAATGAATCCTGCTTTTTTTCCATCCAAAATAGAGACGCATTTCGTGATTTTTCATCATACAATATGTATAGCATGCTGTATGTTATTAAGCACGCTTTATGCCCCTAAGTAAATCAATCATATATTAGCAATAAGTAGTTTTTAATTTGTTTCTTTTTTATTACAAAAATGTAATACACTTTGCCGCTTAGTTTCAACCCAAAGATCACAGACGAAGAACAAAATACAATGCAGAATGTAAACACACACAAATAACCCAAATAAAACAGATTGTCAAAATCACATTTGTTCTGAAATAACACAAAGCCTTTTGATAAAATAACCAACACAATGGAAACAATTGGCTGAACATTTGCCCTAAGGGCTTACGAATATTTATGCGTTTACATTTCAGCTAATCACTAACATATGAATGACTCTTTCATCCACGAATATATGTTATATTATCAGTGTTGCATGTTAAACATGCCCTGTTAGAATCATATACAGAGAAATACCATCCTCCTTGGACATGTTGTACGTTCAGTAAGGTAAGAGCCATTATGAAAAGGATTCAAAGTTCTCATATATTGTTATTTTAATTAAATACATCATGCATATTTGTACATGTCTTTGGTGGTATTTGAAATTGACATTGAAATGTATGACGATCACATTGAAATTGACATACCTCTGTTTCAGTGATATTTACCTTTAGGTGTCCCTTTCGTCACACGTATGATGCATTTGCCATGTTGCTCTGAAACTGACATGCATCCATTTCTTGCATGTTTACCTATGGAGGCTGCACGATGCTTGCGCTCTGTTCATACTGTATTTACCCTGTTGAACCGAGCTAGTGACGTCACGCAACACTGTTCGTTTCTGAGGGTTAATAAAGTATGTTCAATATCATCACCATGGTAACCAACATTTCCAGGGGCATCGCATGATTGGGTTAGATATTGGAGTATTCCTCTACAAGCCTGTCTCTACTTCATACACTTGCCTAGTCAACCCGAGCAATTTGCAAACACACACACGCGCGCACACACACGCTCTAGCACCTGCTCAAGAAACGACTGGGAATATCAAAATTAATACCTTTTGTATCTAGTTTTAATGCAATTGACATCTTTATTTGATTTATTGTTACTAATAATCATGTCATATTGTTCATTAATCTTTTATTTGCATTTATATTTCCCATTTAATACTCTCTCTAGTTAGGAATATTATTTTCCGTTTCAGGGAAAGGGGTTTACATATCATATATATAATAGCTTGGAGGCAGTGTGTTATTCACACTGGTGTAATATATTTAGTGCATACAATATAATACTAGCTATCTTATAACCCGTTAGAAAGTCATCATTTAGGGTGATACTGTCGATATTATAATGTGTTATTTTCAGATTGCTAATATTCAGAATGGGTGAATCTATTCTCTTTCACGGTTCATTCGTTTATCAAACCAATCTTATGAAGTTAGTGCTGTTATTTGAGATTTTTTTGTTACCAATTCTTTAGGTTCCACACTGTACACCGGTTACAGTATAAGTTGAATTTTAATCATAATGGCATTTAATAATATACAGAATATGTAATGTTTATTTATTACCAAAACATGCATGAGTGTTTAATATGAATTATGCTGTAGATTCGCATTGTGTTAGTGCATTATGTGAAGTTTTTTTATTAGTTGATGCATTTCTCCAGCGGATATACTCAGCATTGTAGAAAGTCAAACAATTAATTGAACTATATCATTTGCCTAGTCTTGTGAATTTTTCGCGGTATTAAATTCTGGTGCAAGTTTGATTCACCACATGTAAAATATTGCTGATCAATGTCAAGAATTCAATACCACAAAATTCTCTAGATAGTCGCCATGTTATCCCAGATATGGAGGGAACGATTGTTCGTACTTTTCCTACCATTTGGATAATATTATTAACGACGATCGTTAATATTATATGCATTCCTGGTGATGAATATTTTAAGCAATACGATAATTAATTTAGATGCACGTTGTCCCGTTTGATAAGCAATCGAAATATCTCGTGTTTTAATTTATTAATTTTTATACATATCGTTTTTTTGACATTTTATTCGAAAGAATAACAGTCAGAATTTATACGACTTGTACTTAATCATCTAAAAAAATATATTCAATTGTTTTGTCATTCATTTTAAATTTGTTAGAATTTATTTGTAGGAAAATATGTAAATTGAGGTTTCATTAAAAAACGTTCCCCAAATTGTATTTTAAAAAATATCTTTCAGCTTACTCAATTTAGAGAAATATGGATCACCGAAAAATGTAAACAAAATAATTTCCGTTAAATAGATATAATCTGTTTCGCTGGGAACCAACTATTCAAAGATGTTGGTAATGATTTCAAACAAACATACACTACATTCAACATACTTGACACAGCAAGATGATGTATAACAAACTGTAACATCAATGGATGTATGGACACCTCACACATACCTTAAAGTACCATCATTGTAAATTAATGTAGCTGATGACAGATACACATGACTCAAGCTTTCGGTGTTGTAAATTTCATATATAGTACCTCGATGCTTGTTACACGAGACGGAATGTTGCGATGATACGGCAGTGTTGTAAATTTCATGTCAATAGCGAGAGCTATTATGTCAATATATCTGTCACTGTCCTCACCTATTGCCGATCTTATTTACAACGCCAGTCGTACATTCTCCCCTGCCATCTGAGAATTACGACCTTTTCCTATTTTTCCTTGTTTACAGAATTGTCATCATAATTTCCCCAATTTCTGCTGTTATTATTCTTGTTTATTTCTCCTCTTCCAACATTAGTTTCCTGGATAATAATTGTTTTAACCACACAATAACATTCCTTATGCGACCCGTTGCAAGATATAGATTAATTATCAACTTGTTGGAAGAATGGAATTACTATAAAATGATGAAATATGATGGGATTACATAGGGTCTAACGCTCGCGAAATCCATATATCAAAACTTACACGTTAAGCCACTTACATGAAATTGTTGCAGAGTGAAATTTGAATAATTATGTAATGTAAGAGGATAGGGGGATTTCCCTTGCACTTACGAATTGCATAAAAGATGCCCGTTGCAATTCTACTCCATTTCGTTAAAAACAGCGAAATGTGCTAGCTTTGATTTATTCATTTCGTAATACTGTTAATACATTTGTAAAGGGTGTGCGGTAATTTGTAAACAAGTAGTGCTAATTTCAGCCATTCCTTTAGCATTCCATATGTACCAGTGGCTTTGGTAAACACGGGTTTGACAGGAACCAGATCTACCACCTATCTAGTTCTTCTCAACTCCGCATTCGCTTCATTTAGCTAAAAACTTCGGAAACTATCAATATTTTCAGGAGGATTTATAGAAAATTGTCACAGTAGCGTATGATCGTTTGAGAAATCAAATGGAAACTGATCGCGTTCGGTTTAAAATTAGCGTCTTCGGTAGAAGGTTGGAAAATCTGAAATCAACCTCACGTATTTCCATGGTAACGGAATTAATCAAGCGAATTATGTGACATAATTGTCTAGGAAGCTAACGCAGATTGAAAGCGAGTATCCACACGCAAGGTACTACAGGGTACCTGGGGCTGTACTGGCCCTGATTTTAATCAAGTTCCTTATACGCACAGATTTATATTAAGTCTAAATACTACGAACTAAAGCCAATCAAATCCACAGTCTCTCACGTAAGCAAGTATGCTATTTGAAGAAAAGCATGCAAAAAATAGACAAATTAATATTCTCATTTTGTGGTGGGTTACAAAATGGTATCTAAACTGACTCAACCAAATTGTTTGTTTTTTCATACAAACATTCCTTCATATTCCCTTACAAGTTAAACAAGCCATGTGGTTTTGATAGGTCATGGATATCCGCAGTTTACCAGAGAGAGACAGCGCGGGAGGTTACACGCAAGGTTGTGTATAGTCAGTAACAAAACAACATCTCAACACGCTTCGCCGCTTCAAATATACGTTACTTGTGTTGTCTCTGGCCAACCATCGGTCAAACCGACCAAGCATTGGTCCAGTTCTGGAAACCCTTGTCCACGTTATGAACGATATGAGAACGATCTCTCCCCAAAGTCTTATTTCGGTTAGCCTAGCTGAGTGGAAGGTCGCCCGACTCGGCAGCTCGGCCGTAATGAATATAAGGCTGAATTGAGGGAGTGATTCGGCTACCAGCCGTCGCCAGTTGTAACGGCCTCGCTGATTGGCTGCAAGTCGACAGCGCGTATCACTCTTCATGCAAATGATTTATTTTAGCCGACAGTCACCGAGAAGTCCCACAAATCACACTATTCGGATAGGTCATGTAGTAGGAATTGTCTTTCTATCATATATCCACAAAAATGAATTCATACTTCACGTCACCGTTTCTCCCTCAATATTCTTCGGATAGCCACTACGTTCCAAACAGTTATGCGTCTAATGGCTATGGACTGTATTCATCAAGGTTGGGCGATCAGCTATCTTATCACTCCGGAGGATATGGGGGTACCGAACACGGATCCCTACACTACTATAACCAACAGAAGACGTCCAACATTCAGTACCCAAGTGCTGCGGAAAACGGGTACGAAAACAAGCAGACGACATATCACCAACACCAGGCTCATGTAGCAGACGACACGAATGTGCCCCGGAATTTTCCAGTTGGAGGCACGTATCCACAACCCCAACCCCACCAGAACGTTGAATGGGGACACCATCAGAACGTATCCACCCCATCGCCGAACAGAAATCAGCAAGGGAGCCCCTACACACCTCCTCTTGAAGGAAAACCCGTAACATCATGTTCCCTGTCCCCGAAAGATTCGGACTCCGAGCTCCAGGGAAAGAACTCGGAGCCGTCCGCTCCCTTCTACCCCTGGATGGGGATTGTAGGTAAGTGCCTCAAACCCTTAAACACTCCCTCTTCTCTTTCACTGTCTAGTTATGTCCTTCTGCTCGCAAAGCAAGATTGTTCCGATTTACGATAACGACGCATAAAATAGGACCGTACCTTTTTAATATTCCTCAGCGTGGTACTAAATTCATTTTACGAGACCATTCACCAGGCGAAGAAGCGTCTATACCAGAGACTCGCTTCGAACACTAAATCTTCTTCCTTCTGTAAAACATACGGACCTTAGTTGCATTATGAGCTGTAAAACACCACTAAATATTATAATTAAACGCTACATTATGACCATGTTTCGTAGGCAATAGAGCAGTAGCATTGTAAAACCATATCTTTTTTATTGGCAATGCTCTACATCGTGTGGTCGAAACCTTGAACCAATCCCAATAGCAATAAGAAACTTAATACTTTACAATAACTTGAATGAATTGCCGTGAATTTTATGTGTGTCTGTCTTTAATGCCCTTATTTTATGTCTTCTCCTAAACAAACCCTCTAACAGCTCTCAACTCAAACCTAGCTGCGGGGGATTTTGCCTATGTTTTTTCTCAAGCTCTTATTCTGTTTCACTAAATATTCGAATATCTTGAACGATTTTCACACGTTTCCTTCAATTCTGTATCATCAAATGTAAGGTTTCGATCGAAATGAGCCACGAGTTACATGACCATAAACATTTAAAACTACCGCTGGTGAAAAACAATCCCTGTAAGTCCATAGTGCCCTTGCTGGTTTAAACGGCGTGTCTTTTTTCAATGGATATACATGAATTCGAATATATTGTTTACACTTTTCATATCATGTAACGTAGGGACATCGTACTAAATCGTATTTCAATTCATGTGAGACCACTGCTATCCCTTGTGTTTATAGGTATTGATTAACAATATATTTTAAACATTGGGAGAGAATCTACAAATAATGGCATATTTTGAACAAATATATTCTTGATTATAACAAGCCAGAACTGTTTAAGTGTGTGTTGATAAGTAGCTTATATCACACTATGTCAATAAACTTGAACAAATGGTATAATTTTATTTGTAATAAGATAATGATACTATCGAGCGTTTGTGTTTACATTGTTAAATATCACCTGTATATCGCGAGACAGGAATATAATTGTTGTCAATTTCACGCTGGTGTATATCGCCATACTCATACACAAAGCCAACTCATGTATCAACAACCCAAACAATAAGCTATTTCACTATATAATAGTGTCATAAATCATATCAAATGTCATTTTCATAAATACCGTCAATAGCAAATATTGATACTGCTAGCCTATGTCCATCCAGGCATTGCCCCGTTGGGCAATATATCAACTTTATGACGGAACTAACAACAAATAATACATTCATACCACGACTTTAACATTCTCATTAAATTTGATTTTAACACATGTGACGACCGTGTTTTAAATTAAAGTTAAAAATGTCTAGCTATAATTAGACATGTCCTATATCAAACTATTTTCTTATATTCTGTGTACACGGAAATTCTAATGAATTATTTTTTGGTGTATGTGAAAAGCAAATTTCGTTATCCTTGTGATATGTTGATTTTACTCTGAAAATAATCGTTGATGAAAAACACATGGGGGATGGGGCAGGGGGGTCTGTTTGTTTCTGATTATTTTAAATAATTGTTTGCAGATGGACACAAATCTCGGAAATGTTATCTGGTTTACTTATCTAGGGTATGGCATTTATTGCCTACAGTGTCAGTAGCAATTTTAAAAATGTATATATAGTTAAATGGACGGGGTTACCATTAACCATGTATCCAAATCCTGTGTTAATAAATCTAAATAAATCTAAAAGGGTTAAATATTATATTTCATATTTCTGTCAGTGTGAAGTAATGGAACCTTTTAAACACCACAGGGTGAGATTTGATAATTTCTTCACGCGGTCACAATTATGTTTACTGAGTTCATTTAATGCCATTTAATAAACATCATGGATTGTACATCCCAACATCACCCAAAAAGACTTGATGATGAATCTGTTTGTATTACCGTTACTCACAAATGAACGGCTCTTCTCGTTTAGCTTTTTGAAGTGGCTACACCAAACAAGGTCGATATGGACACAGTTACTAGACTGGTTAATGTATCATTAATCAATAAGTCATAATATCTTTATTAATGTATAAATGTATTTGTAGGCTTGGACGAGAGGTTTTCATACACTGTAAATCAATAGGTGACAGACACACTGTCAGGACATCTATGGTGGAATTCCAAACAGATTCAGTTGTAAGTTCACGCATGTTCTCCTAACCCAAACAGAGGTATTTAACTAAATGTAAATAATTTACTACACACCACATTATACATGGACACAGCTGTCTAAAGTTACAAAACCACTATTCATTCCTGAAAATGTGTTAATTTCCGGACTATTATGAAAACGGTTGGTAGTGTCGTGTTATATTGTGAAATCTACACATGTAGATTTCAGTGCAAGTTATCAAGTGCGATACCTTTTAACCGTTTGCTGTGAACTACATACCCTTTGGGATATCATGACACATGCAATAAACACACAATAACGAAACAGGATATTTGACTGTGTTTCAGTTCGACAATAGCGGTGATACTAAAAATCACATGCAAACTAAACCGAAGAAGGGAACCAAACACACTCCCATGACCCCTTTCTCTAAAATTTTATTCCAACATTTCAAACGATTTTAATTTCCTTTCTTCTCCTTTGTACTTTTTAAATGTCTTGTGTATTTCATAAAAAGAATGCATGTATGAATATTACGAAAATTCTCATGCTTGAAATAACAGTCCAATATAGTTGAGAGATAATTCTTACTATTTGTGCAGCAATGTTACATGTGGCATATCACATATGACATGCGTCAATAATTAGATTTGAAATAAATTCTGCAGAAGTATGGATTCTGTTCCTGAAAAGAACACTTTATTACATATATGCAAAACATGCGTGTCTCTTGTTTCATTTGCATGTTATGCTGTTCGATAGTAATATCCGCAAGGGTATTACATATTCGATCTCGATTTAATGTTACAATTATTTCATGTTGTAAATCCAATGTTAGTCATACTGTTTTATGTAACGTACTCCCCACGACAGGCAATATATATATCACGTGTCACACGTCCACCGATGGGTCTATGAGATGCCGGGACAATCATCCACTGGTAGACAGTAATTGTTACAAATCAGGGCTATGTACAATAACTAAGTGTACAAACTGATCGCCTCCCTCGTTCGGACATTACATCAGACTGGTCACTATGTCCACCTAAATAACGCTCTTCACAAGAGATGACACATTAGGGGTCAGTTTGTCACATGGTCTCGAAAGGTGACCACACCTGACCAGTCCCCGTCTGGATCTTAAGACCACCACCTGTAATAAATTAACCGGATTTAAACCCACCGTTGAAACTCGTGACATTAATTTCAGCCCTTATCGGTCGATTGAATTCGTTTCGTGTCTGGGGCCTTGTTGTTATTGCAGACAACCCCGGCCGATCTAACAGAAGCTTGCTTCAGCTATTGTGCGTGATGTACAAGCTAACTTGTGTCAAATATCTGCCGAATGGATTAATTTTAATAGCCGTTACTGTTTCAGGTCGGGCAGGCGACAAATGTTATATATAATTCATCAAAGGGGATGTACACACAATCAGGGGTCACACACATGCAAAGGGAAGTAGAATAAATCTCAACAGATGTGGATTTCATGCAATGTATCACACATGCTTGGATCATGTTCATCTTTTGAAACAAACATCTCTTACAGACATATTACAAATGTAAGGAAACGTGGACCAAATATAGGAATATTGAACACGGACTGAATAAAGTACATATGTTGAAATACACATCACAATGAAATATACAAGGAATAATAAACCTATTTTAGATGTGCATTTACATGATATATAGATGTATATTACGTTGTCTATTTCATTAACTGAAACTCGTTTAAAATGGTTCAAAACACATAACACAAATATATTTCAAAGGACAGTTACAAAAGAACCATTCGTTTACCTTGAGACTGAAATATACATCTCCTGTAGTCACAAATGCATAAAACATGCATTACTATCTCTGATCGATTTCAGAAATAGATTAAAAGCTAGATAAGCATACCATTGTCCATTTCATTTAATCATTTGTTATCACGATTCTTCTGTGACAAGTGCAAATAATTGTTCGATAACAACCTGGCTTTTCAACATCCATGAGTAAATCTGCATACTATGTCGAGCTGGATACAGTGAGAACTAAGGTGAAAAAACACTCATTATTTATCGTCTTAACAGTGCAGTTGTAAGTTTCACTTTATGCCCTTCATCAATAATGCACTGTATAGATCCCTGTTACTGATTCCCCATGAAGGAGATATTGAGCTTCTCCATCGCCGCTGTTTTAGGAAAATGAGACGAGAAAAAAAAGACGGATGAAGTGAGATCAAAAGTGATTGTGTTACCATTTAACTCAAGTCTGATTTACAGTATGATATTTCCGTGCAGATTCAAACAGGTAAGATTCAGTATAGATATCTATAAGGCATGACATGAGCGTTAAAACTATAGGTGAATATCAGTTGGTATTCGACAAGGAAATCCAAATTTGAGAATATTGCATAGTTTTCTGTAAATGTCGACACTGCATTGAGATCTGATACGATCTGGTATTGATCAATATGATCACTCCAAATATTGATATAATTAAAATTATTGACAATAATATCACACTTCATATAAGACCTGATATAATCTCTGATCCTTTTTCACAAGTTTACAAATCATAGATCTATTGAATGAATCAAATCGTAACTTAAAAACAATTGCAGCCATCTTCTTTATGTATATGCGTAACATTGTGTGGATCTGAGCACACTGCTGACTTCGTCATAACCTTATGGTAAATGCGATGTTTTTTTAATCGTTTTAAACGAAAACACGAAGCCTAAAACGTTAGTAAAA